TCTCTGGAGAACGTCTTGAGCACAGCAGCCCATCAGAACAGGAATGGCGGCCAGGAGTGTCCATGAGAATGTGAGCTTCTAGTCTGGAAGTTTGTGGGATGAGAAATAAATTGTCCAAATTGGTAGCAAGAGATAGTAGATATGTCTCTTGGGGCACCAATGATGACGACCTTCTGGCAAATGAGGTATGATACTCAACAGATTTAGCAAAGACCAATGACCAGGGATTGGACAACATGGAAGTTCTGATGCATTTCAGCATCTAGGAGTTGTGGCTTTTTTCCTGTTTCATAGAGGTATCAGGGTCAATCAGTTGCTCCACCTTTGATGAATGACTGCTGAAGGCCTTCCTGAAGGTAGCAGGGGTGGAGCTGCGTCAACCTCATTGTAGGCACAGCAACAAAGAGGGGACATGTCCTGGGTCCCATAAGGTGGCATTGTTTGGTGATGGACCCTGCTAGATATTAGGTGGGTGGAAACAATTGGAGAAAGGCAGTCCTGTAAATGCCCAGATCTTGCACCATGAAGAGCTTTGTAGATGATCACTAGCACCTTGGATTGCACTCAGAAGTCTACTGGTAACCCAGTGCAACTTGTGAAGTAGCAGTGTTAATGGGTGTACTGAGATGTGCCTATAACTAATATACTCTGGACCACAAGTAGTTCCCAAGGGATCTTCAAAGGCAGCCCCATGTAAAATGCATTGCAGTAATCCAACTGTGAAGTGATTATGAATGGGAGCAAAGATCCTCTTGCTCACAGCTGCCACCTGCTCTTCCAACAGGAGCTGTGAATTCAGGAGGACCAACAAATTGCACCCTTGTTCTATCTAAGGAACTGCTATCCTGTCCAGAACTAAGGTTGGAAGGTCCCTGGAAACAGATGGTCCAGATTCCCAGAGCCATTCAGTCCTACATGGCTTTCTTCACATCCCTCCTGTGTTGAAGTTGAATTCCAATTAAGGATCTAGATTATTCACTAAATAATCTCTAAACTTGATTCAGTAATGCTGTCTATAATACTGGTTAAGTGACAGTAAATATCATATAATTCATGGTGAAGAAGTCCATAAAGCATGCCAGATAATGGCTGATAATTGATCTTCCTTTAATAAGGGTGATTTGTTTCAAGAAGCCATTTATTCAGTGGCTGCTGTGATTATCACAACAGTTGAACACTTAAAAATGTAAAATGAGTCCATTCATCCTTTTCATCCTTCTGTAACTTAGATCAATGACAGGGGCCTCCTGTCACACCATAATTCTTCTCTTATTACTGGTATAATCCTTTTGCCCAGGATGAAACTGAGAATAGGACCACTGATGCAGCTAGACATTCCATATTTCACCCTAACAAATGCTTAAAACAAGAATAGCTCTTGGGAAATGATCACATCATGAAGAATGCCAATTGACAACATATTTCTCATTCAGCTTGCATGCAAGATACTAGAGACATCCCAGAAGGTGGTCAAAAAAGTCATGGAGACAGCTGCCACTGGGCGATCAAAACCCTGCCCCTTTTCAGCATGTGTTGCATGCACAGCACATGTAAAAAAGGGGTGGGGTTTCAAATGCAGCTACCTTCTTGACTTTTTTGACTCCTCCCTTGCTGACACCCCTGACCCTAGACCAGTGTTTAGGTTGAGAAACACTGTCCTAGAGGAATCTACATCAAGCTTGGGATGCACTTCAGAGAAATCAACTTTGCACATAATCTGAGGCTGAATCACATGAGAAAGATGAAGATGGCTGGGTCCATATAATCCAAAACCAAACCAGATGATAAGATGGCCAAGGATTTTGTGTGAAGCTTACAACCAGCTTATTCAGGAAAGCATCTTGCAAGCCCTTTCTCATTCTCACCATAAGGAACTAGAGAAAGCTATGATCTTGGCTGTGTGAATTCTGGACGAGGCACTGTAGTAACCACCATATGACAAAAATATTTTTTCCTCTATCCTTTTGTGCATGTTTAAAAAACAAATCAATGGACTTATTTCATTGGCATTAGTACCTAGGAGGCACTTTCTTAAATGAACACTGATGGTTGGGGGTTACTATGCTCGCACCCCGCCCAGCTGCTTAGACAGACACCGGAGTCAATTTCAGTTGGGGAAGCAGATTTTTTAAAAGAAATCAGTAGTTAAAGGGAGGGACAAAACTCTAAAGCAGTGTTTTTCAAACCTGGCAACTTTCAGATGGGTGGACTTCAACTCCCATGCTGGCTGGGGAATTCTGGGAGTTGAAGTCCACCCATCTG